CCTAACTGCAGGTGCAATGCCCTCCAGTTTTCATATCTCATTGAACAGGAGATCAGTGGTGCTGCATATACAACTTTTTTTTGCAAAATATGAGCCTTAGCCATCAACGTGGCCATGCACCCATATATATTTTTTTCATTTAGCCCATGGATTGAATGGAAATAATCTAACAAGTTCTCCACTCATGCTTAATAGCATGGATGGATGAATCTACCGCCATGGCACCTCTGGATATCCGAATACCTAAATAGCAGCTGCATCTAACTGGATGCAGGTGTTGTATAGCCAATGATTTTCCTCCAAATTTCAATCAAAGGATGTCGGGCAGAATAGAGCAGACAGGACCACCCACTGATCAAATTTCGGCTGGTCCATAAGGAATCTGTGGAAATTCATATGGCTACCCTAACGGTTTAGAGAACTATTTATCCACATTTCATTGCTTATTGTCACCTACTACATAGCAGTGTAGGTCATGATAAAAAAAAGGGAATGTTTTTTTTCCAAACGCAATTGTTATAGAGTGAAAACCACAAGAACCATATTAGTATTTGCCCTGGGCTATATGAATAATGATCCAGAGAAGCTTCTTGACCCTTCACCAGGAAATTTCTAGAGATGACTGGCATAAACTTTGTTTCTTTGGTTTATAAAGGTTCAACCTCCAATGGGAGTTAGGAATATAGTTATGGAATTTTGAGCAGCAGGCAGTATAGGATGCCATTGAATCCAAGCAACACATACCTGAAGCCTCTCATTACTTACTTGAGATGCTGCCTGCAAACCTTTCCAACATGTATAATAGAACCATCCAAAGATCAAGGAATTTTGGTCTAATTTTCATGGTTTAATTGAACAGACGGCAGATGATCTAGACTCAGTATATTCGTTCACAATAAAAGACTCTGCTTGTTTAATTATATAACAAATCCCTAAGTATACACCATTTAAAGCATAACTATATCCAAATATTAACTGAAAGGTATGATAAGAGTTTTGCTGCGATGCATAAATAAAAGTTATAGATGGGATGATAGGATTGCTGGTCAAAAGAGTGCAAAGAGTGCTCCTAGGCAAGGTATATGGCAAAAGAGACCTGCACTTCAGGGCATGCTCAAATTTCCCATTTTATGATCGTCTCCTTCAGCTAAAGTCACTTGATCAAATACATAGTCTTTTAATCACATGGCTGGCATAAGAAATTGTTTAGTGCACTCCTGATATTTCTTCCAGGAAATCATGACAACATGGAATCTAGCACTTACAGGGGTAGAGGTCATTAATGACAGCCTCCATATCGTCTCATTACAGGTTATCTTTAAAAAATCTATTTACTGTTATATTATACTACATACTTTCCTTACACTGAGCACCACATTCTTACATTCTATAACTGATTATTCTATTATGGCTGTACCGTAGTTTATAATTTGTTGCAGAGAGATATCATCTCCTGCTTTTATATGAATTCTAGCAAATGTGATTTGTGAGCCTTTATGTACTGTATTATATTGCTAAAAAATAAAAAATGTAAGAAATAAAGTTGTAGAAAAATGATTGACCTTTAGCCTTAGAGCAGGTATTGAACCATGTCTAATAATTAATTTGTTGCGCAAGGACAGGGTCAACAAAGCCCATACGGTATGCTGTACACTTTCAATCAAAGCCATAAGTAGACTTGGTTTAATTGTGGAATGCTATTATATTTTATAGTTCACAATGTCTATTATGCAATATGTACTGAATTTATCTGATACAGTTCTCTAATACAAGGTTTGTTTGAAACCATAGTTTGGCTTCATGTATGCAGCCACCATACAGGTACATTCAGGCACAATGAACTGGTCAGGAGTCACAGTCTGCATACGGGGCAGCATATACATCCCTGTATGCAAGCTCCACTGTGATGTGCATATATCTCTGTACAGCTGGTGCGTATTTCAGCCTGGTATTAATTTTGACAGGCTGCTGACAGCAGGCTGTACACATCACTTGCAACTCTCAGGCAGAGAATTCTATTTGAATTCATGCTATTAGACCCTCTTGTGGCAGTGTGCCTAAAGTCTAATAGATTTATAATCATCAACATTTTATCACCCAATACCAAGCCTTACATACAAAAAATGTTTGCATTAAAAATGTCTGCTTGGTTGGTATGGGTACCACGAAGAATTTGCCTTTCAGAAACACTGGCCCACTGTAATTTAACCTTTTTGGCCTATTTAGAATACAAATGTATTTTCATGACATAGTCCTCCTTTAGGGATTAAAATAATTTATTTCAAGTACATTGAGTTCTCTGTGTAGGCATTCTGGTGTATATTAAATTGTGTGTACTTCATTCACTTTTGCTCACTAAAAATAACACAAATTGGTGTAAACTATGTTCCATAAGTATAATTTAGTCCTACTGTGTGCCAACATGGATCAGACCACAGCTAAGGCTGCACTGAGAGCACCTGCAATGTGTCTGCAGGCACAGGACTAAAACCTAAGTCACATCTAAGTAAATCTCTGTAGGGCAGACTTTTTCAACCTCTTTTTGTACCCCAGAGGAACCAAAAAAAAAGTCAGGTCTTAGGGAATCCTTACTAAAACCTATTCATCAGGCCCCATACATTTGTGGTCAATAGAAAGAATACAATCCTTCTAGTAGTGATCAGATTGCCACCCTTTAAGACAGTGAAAACAATAATTAGGTCATGTTGCTGTTTTTGCCTAGTAGCATTGGCCCTTGAACAATGCAGACACCATCAGTTAGGAGGTCAATCAGCCACAGCTCAGGGATCCCTTAGCAACCTCTAGGGAGACCTTAGGGTTCCACAGAACCCTGGTTAAAAATGGCTGCTGTAGACTATCAGATCTCAATGCATCTCTGTAAATAGTGTACACACAGGGGCGGACTGACAACTCATGGGGCCCGCGGGCAATAGGGGATCATGGGGCCCCTGTGTCCTTGCCCAAACTCAAAAAAGCCTATGAAAAAGGTACCAGGGGCATCTCATGGGGCCCCCTACTGACCCCGGGCCCCCGGGCAGTGCCTGAGTTTTCAAATGATCAGTCCGCCCCTGTGTACAAATGTGTATATGTTTGGGAGACACCACTTCATACCTTGTGTTCCGTGTTTTGTGATATTCTGTGTTTTGAAATCTAGCATGTGGTATTTTCTAAGAACAGTGCAAATAAACCTTCCATAAAACAATTCTCCTTGTAGCATGTCTTTATAAACAGTTATAGGGTTGGAAGCAAGTACATGTTGACATCAATGTTTATAATTTCCAGAGACACCTTCTGAAACAGCAGGGTAAAGATTTTAGAACTCGGCTGCTTGGGGGCTGGAGGGCACATGGAATGATAGAGCATTGCAGAATCTCCTTAATACAGAACTGTAGTGCATGGACCAGAAGTACAATTTGCAAAAACATGTGCAAATGTGCAATTTACTTCCACGTTTGCCCTACTTCATCAATGACATTTCTGCACTCTCCCCTTGCCACTTCACAGCCATTGGTACCATCTTTGCCAAAGCTTTCTCTACTGATGGTATTTCTCTCATTTGGCTATAGGGTGGCCAGTGAGCTACCTGGCTTTCAAATTTGAACAAATGTCTTTTTGACAAACCAACCAGGAATACGCATGTAACAATTAAAATAAACTAGTCAGAGCTCCTGATCTGTGTACTTCTCCCACGTCAGTTGTGAAGCCATTGGAGTAGCATGTCAACAAGGCAACTAGCGTTTGTCAGAATGGTAGTCTCCAGATATCTTTCAAGACATACAAAGAGCTCTGAAAAGTGCAGTAACCCATAGAAACCAATAGCATTTAATATGTTATTATTCATTAAACAGGACTGCATTTGTCATAATTATTTGCAGTACTAGAACTGTGGAGACTGTCTTTGCTGACATCCTTCTGAAAATGCTAAATGCCTAGCTGTCTCTGGTTTCTACTCCTATAGTGTATGAGTTACTGACATGAAACAAGCATGCAGAAATGGAAAGAATGCATGCTATGAGAGAAATATGAGAGTATTCTGACCTCCATCTAAAAACGTTACTTGCTGTACTGGCTGTAATGTTGACCCTCTTGTTAACAGGTGCTTCCAAGAGGGTTCTAAAGTGTTAACAGTTTTTCTTTTGCTGTGTTCACGCTCTGTGTTCACACTCTGAGGTTACTCAGGTCAAATATGTTATGTGTACAGACCAAATGTTACAATGAACTTGTTTCCTACATTTGTCCCTGGTTGACCGGCTAGTCTGTTGGATCTGAGAAGGAGGGTTAATGCTGCTGGCTAGGTTGTCCCACTCTTTTCAGAAAGTTACTTCCTCCCACAAGTCATACCATGAATATAGGGACTAATCTTCTCAAACAGAGTCTTTGCCTTTGATCCTTGGTTGGGGGAACAACTTCAAAGTGTAGCCATTATGCTGAGTACCTCTTGGGGGAGACCAGTCAAGATTCCCACTGGGGTCTGGAGCCAGTGACATACTGATATAAGATCCATTGCACAGAGTGCCTAGGGACCCAGCCTGGGAGTCACAAGTGTTATGGAGGGAGGCCTCAGTAGGCGGACAGGCATGAAGTTATAGAGAAGTGCATTTCCTGTTTCCAATAATAACCTATAATGCATTGTGACTGGGAGTAAAATTACATGACTGCTGAGTTTGTGGAGACCGGTACATGCTCTGCGGTACCAGCTCAGAAATGCTGCACACCTAGGAAGTGGTGTTCTCTAACAGAAGTGTGCCCAAATTGCTTAGTATCAACAGTGTTTAAAGTATGGCCATGGATTACAAAGAGTTAACTGTGAAAGCTGCTGCTTACTTTTAAGTTGGGAGTCCTGCCTTTTTGGTGATTTCACATGACCACAGCTCCTGCCTATGGTTTAGGCATTAGCGAGGGCGGTTCCACAGTGTCCCCATTATGGCATCTTAAGCCCTGCTCACACTCTGGCTTCAGTACTTATGACAGGGGCGGACTGACCATTTGGAAACTCGGGCACTGCCCGAGGGCCCGGGGTCAGTAGGGGGCCCCATGAGATGCCCCTGGTACCTTTTTTCATAGGCTTTTTTGAGTTTGGGCAAGGACACAGGGGCCCCATGATCCCCTATTGCCTTGGGGGTCAGTAGGGGGCCCCATGAGATGCCCCTGGTACCTTTTTCATAGGCTTTTTTGAGTTCGTGAAAAGACCCTGCTTATGACACAATGACTTAGAACAAGTATGTCGCTTGGAAAAAATTAGGGATCCTTATTTGCATACCTGCTCTGGATCACTAAAGGTCAGAATAGCAGCCAGTCAATGATCGTTTTGAGAAGATGAACTCAACAAAGCCTCAATGATTTACTCATTACAGGTGTACTTTAAAGACAGGATTTTCCTTGTCATTTAGTAGTTCTTGTAACTTCATGGGTGTCTACAGATCTGAATGGGCCTGGTTTCTGAAAGTAATGTCTCTATTACTACCTATTCATTTTATCTAATCTTCAGCTATTAAAATAACAAATTAAAGCGAAACCTCAGGTAGCTATAAAAGACACAAATGAATACAGCTCTGCATTCATTAACACACCTTTAAATATATAACAATTCTTAAAATTAAATCCAAATTCCAGGCAGATAAAAAAAGACAGAAATGTAGCTCTGCATTTATTAATACATCCTTACATATACTTTAACCACTTGTGGCCAGCTCCAGAAGATTTATCACCCTTCATGACCAGGCCATTTGTTGCTATTCAGCACTGCGCTATTTCAACTGGTAATTGCATGGTCATGCATTGCTGTACCCAAACAAAGTTTATGTCCTTTTTCACACTAACAGAGCTTTCTTTTGGTGGCATTTGATCACCACTGGGTTTTTTTATTTTTGTGATATAAACGAAAAAAATACCGAAAATTTAAAAAAAAACAATATTTTCTATTTGTGGGTAAAAAAAATCATCAATAAACTCAAAGTTAGCCATAAATTTAAGCCAAAATGTATTCTGCTGCATGTCATGTAAAAAAAAAAATCCTAAAATGTTTATATTAATTGCTTAGTCAGAAAGTTATAGCATCTACAAACTATGGTATATATATATAATTCAAATATAATTTTTTGTCACAGGGTTTTGAAAAAGAAAAAAATACATTTTCGCTTTCTTTCTTTATTTTCCAAAAACGAATAGCAACAAATGAGATCTACAAAATATTCCCCATGTCCCTTAGAAAATAACTTACTTTTCAAAAAAGGGTCTTTTTGGAGGGGGTGCTTCTACTATCCTGGAATTTCAGGGCCAACATTAGAAGTGTATGCCACACATCACACACTTGAAGAATAATTTTTTTATTACACTTTCTGTTTAGGTGAAAAAAAAACAGGTTTTTTTGCTAGAAAATTACTTTGAACCCCCAAACAATATTTTTTTTTAAAGCAGAGGCCCTAGAGAATAATAAAAAAGCGGGTTTTGCAATTTTTTATGTCACACAGTGCTTATGCACTTTTTTAAATTTAATGCACAAAAACACAATATATTGCCCAATTGTTTGATAAAATATAAAAGATGTTATGCTGAGTAAATAAATACCAAACATGACATACTTTAAAATTGCGCAGACCCATGCAACGCAAACAAACTACGTAAATTTTTAATATCCATAGGTAATGTTTTAAAAGCCTTTACAGATTACCACTTTAGATTTACACAGGAGGTCTAGATCCAGAATTGCTGATACCTCAAATGCATGGTGCAATCTCCGTTTACATACCGACATGGGACCAATGCTTGCATTTGCTTTTGCGCACGAGCACAGTGATGGGGGCAGGGGTGATTTTTATTTTATTATTTATTTTGCTTTTTTTTTTTTTTTTTTTTTTTTTACACTGTCCTTTTCACTTTTATTATTATCACAGGGAATGTAAATATCCCCTGTGATAGCAATAGGCAGTGACAGGTACTCTTTTCTGAGAGAAATCTGGGGTCTGACCTCTCCGTTGCCCTTAAAGCATCTGATCACAGCAAGATTGGTGTGATCAAATGGTTTCTCAATTTTGAAATAGCACTGTTTATATCCGGCGAAATGATGAATGCTCATAGCTTCCGGTTTCTTAGACCATAGAGATGATTAGAGCCATTCTGGTCTACAATCAGCTCTATGGTCAGACGGTGGAGATGCCAGCTATACTGGAAGGCAGCAGAGGGTTAGTCCCTTCCCGCGGTTTGTAAAAATGATCTAGTGGCTAATTAGAATTGCTAGAATTGTTTTTACATGAAAGCTGACTGCCAGCTTTAAAAAAACGATACCAAGATGATGCCTGTAGCTGCAGGCATCATCCTGGTAAAACCATTCAAAGTCCAGCAACATACCAGTACGTTGATGGTCCATGTTGGGTATATATGTAACAGCAGAGAACATGAGCATATGATGAATTGGGTCTGTGGACCAATATGACCATAATTCATTCCTTTTTGTAATGGCCATGTTGAGGGTTAGGCCCAAAATGTTTACATTCGGAAACAGTAGGTTTCCATGCAAATTGTCTGGCAAGAGCTGAATTTGGGTGGGCAGCGATGTATTGTTGTGCGTAAAAATTGCTTTGGCCCACAATCAATTTATACAAATTTCCTGTGAAAAACAGCGGAGGGGCTAAACACTAGTGCTGGCAGCAAATAGGGTTGATATTGTTTACACTGCATTTTTGGGGACATTATACTAAGGAGTCACTAGTATAGTTCTGTTCATGATCAGTATATTCTATTCAGTTTACTCTATACTAGTAATGGCGGTGACCTGTAGCATGAGTGTGATAGTGTGCGGAAATCTAACGCTAGCTTACCCTGGCTGGGAGGGACGCTAACTGACCCTGACGCTATCTGATTACGCTAGTGGCAGTAATACAGTGATCAGTGAAAAATTCTATATACTGACACTGTACTAATGGCACTGGCCGGGTGACAGGGTGATCAAAGGGTTAACAGGGACGATCAAAGGATTTTCTCTTCTCTCCATGGATTGACGGGGGGAGGGGCAGCAGGGGGTGCATGCTCACTCACACCTGGAAATAGAAAGCAATGTAAGAGTAAGTCGCTTTTGCCCAGAGCTGCCGCTCACCCACACATTGCGAGCGGCAAGTAGTCAAAAAAGAAAAATAAATGTTTTCAATATTTGATTTTTTTAACATTGTTTTTCTTTATCTTTCATCAGAGTAGTTCAATGCTACTATAGTGACATTGTACTACTCTGAGGGGGGTGATCAGGTTTTTTACACTTTGCATTGCAGGACCAAGAAGATTCCGACAATGTAATGCTAGATTTGAACTGTCATGAATGGATTAAGTGCATGACAGTTCAAAATAATAGTGATCTGTGATTGGCTAAAGCTAATCACATGGTACAGGGTGCTGTGGTTGGCCCATGTGAGAGCTGTGGGCCAATCACAGCCCAGTGGAAGAGAAGCAAAGCTGTTTTGAATCAGATCACATGATTACTGGGTAGGGATTGGGATCTTCATTTCACTGTGCCCAGTGGACACAGCAGTCACTAGGGGGAGTGCTGTCTGCCTGCTCGGTCATGCAGCCCCCCTTCCCCTCCCGTGTTGATACAGCCACAGTGACGTATGGGAGCATCGTTGGTTCTGCAGCTACCACTCGACCACAGTCATTGCAGGCAGGCGGTCTTTAAGTGTTAAATACAGTGTAATTTCCTGAATTTGACTTGGTATCAGCCTCTTACAGTCCCCGTGTAGGCAGTTGCCTAATGTATTCTGCCAAATAAAGAGTTAAAGTTTGATGTGTCTGGGGTCAACACTTTTTGCTGTAATGTGCCTTCCCCTGCATTTATCACTTCCTTCTTCTGAGGTGACCGTAGAGAAGGCCATATTTCATGGACTGTCTTTATATCAGAGGTAAACAGTGAGGACAATTTGTGTTAAGATGTGAGCTGAGTAACTGTGCAATTACTCCACAGCGGGGCCCTGGCATTGGTTCTGAGGACTGTTCAATTTGTACTACCTTGTGGGGAAGCATCAAATCATTTTTAACGTATGCCAGTACCACAGTCCCACACAGACCTGAATAGTGTGTATAGTGGGAAGGACAGAAATGTAGCAGGCACTCTGAATGTTGTGTTATTCTGGAAACCACTAAGAACTCTAAATATAACTTTATTCAGTAAATAATTTTCTGGTTAAGTTGTCTGGTCTTCGTTACTTTGGAATGGAGATAACACTTAAGGTAATGAAGTGAAGAGCGCTAAGGAGGAGGAGCAGCCAGCTTGGAAGGAGGAACTGTGGTGGCCAGTGATAGAAGATCCATAGGTAAGGGCAGCCTGGCACTTGACCTATCCTTATTGGATGGCAGGGTCCCTGTTTTAGGGCCCATTGTGGAATGAAACCCTGTTAGGGACTTGGCCTGGAACTTCATTTGTGCAAGGCCTCATGAAGTAAGTGGTTCCCCTTTTTTTCCTTCAGGGCTGAACATGAGTAAGCAAAGTGTGTTGTGAAGAGCTGGTGAAGAGTATATATACTGTATACATATACTAAAAAGTTCAGACACTCCTACAATAAATCATAACACATCTCAAGCATGGGATGTATTATCACTCATCATTGTGTACCTAGTTATCTTATTAGGAGATAAACACTTGCAAAATTACTTGCAAATGGGCATATCATTGCACTAAAAATCATTGAACAGCTTGATTGCCATCCCTGTAGCTAAGCAATGAAAACAGATCTGTTAAAAATATTTGAGGACTAGATTTGTGAGCGCTGCTTTGTATGAAATCATCTTCCTGCTGGTTCAATCCCACTACTGCTGTAGACTAACATTTTGAAAGCCAGACTTGAATCCTCTAAAGGCCATCTTTACCCAAATCTCCAAGTAAACACCTGGTTAAAAAATCAACACTGTTTGGCTAGGGAGTATTTGTGTTCTCTCATCTCCATTCCATATAAAATCATCAGTCTAGTAAGTAAGGCAAAGCAGGAATTTGTACTAGTTAAGATGCTGCTTAAAAATAAACAGAGCTGTAAACATTTTTAATGATTGGATTCATATAACAGGTGTCTCTCAGTAGCTTTCCACAGGACATGCCAATGTCTGACTTAAACCCTGTCTGAACTGGTGCTCTAAGG